TGATTACTCTATTGTTTTGATGCTTGAGTGTATGAATCTCTAGATTTTGTTGATGAATTCCATTTCACTTTTATAATCTATATCCTTGATGTATGTTATTCTTTGATTGATCACCTTTGAAAGCATGCTTCTTGAGGTTGTTGGGATTGTGTGAATTCTTCATATTTTCCTAAGTAACAAATGGATGAAGTAAGAACCATCCATGTGAATTGGTTTCTTGAATGCCTAATGTAAACACCATGCTATTAGGATTCTTGTGATGTTCATATTCTCTTTGAACTTAATGGGTTTTCCTTGTAATTGAATCGAAGTACTAAGCACACCTAGGTTCGGTTATGGGGAGGGCACGAGTATTGTAGCACTAACCCTGTACTCTACTTATTTTAGAGAGAATCATGCATCTTGAGCCACTAAACCCGGTCTTGATTGCGAACATCTTCATAAACACGTTTAGAGTTCATCACTTAAGTATTCACAAACTTGAGTATGATTGTTTAGGGTGGATTCCGAAACCCTAGTGTTTGTTACTTTGTACTTTCACACTTTGATAACTCATCTTTGCCATTCTCATTTAAATTTAAAGTTCATTTACTTTCATGCATTAGAAATAGGTCACTCAAATCAACTCAAAACCCCCCCAATTTGTGTGTGTTTGTGTTGTTGGAAATGTTGTGTGTTTTCTTCATTGAATTCTGTTTATTTCTGTAACTGTTTTTGAAAAGTTATAGGTCAAAAACTGGATAGAGGTCGAAACTGAAAAACAGAGAAAACGAATCTGTCCAAATGGTGATAAACAGGTGATAAATAGGTTATAAACAGGTGATACAGTAGTGATAAGAGGGTGATAGAAATTGCTGTTTGTGTTTTTCTTTGGCTTCTTGTTTTGTTTCTTTTCATTTACCTTTCCTTACTCATTTTTAGTTTCCAATTTGTTTTTTGCATGTGTGGTGTGTTAAATAAGTGTTCTTTACGTACTCAAATTAGAACTTGTAGGAAGCCGACAGTTCTTCGTGGGATCGACCTCGTACTTACATAATTTATACCTCAATAAATTCGTGCACTTGCGGGTATTTTTAATTGGTTGTTTGCATATTAATTTATGTCAGTTACTAATACAACAGTGACATTTCTTTCACATCCAATGCAGAGATCAATTTTTGTAGGGGATTCTTTAACTCCAGTGCAATATTAGTATCTAGCATAATCTCAACACTCAATAAATAATAGATTATACTCTTCCCTGAATAGAAAAATGTTGGCAGCATCACATTAAGTTTGTTCAAAGTATGTAAAATTTGGAAGTTACTCACAGCATCACATTAAGTTTTCCATTTTTTTTTTCGCAAAATTGGGTGCTATATCGATCGTTTGGCCACAGAACCATAGAAAATAGAAGAAAAACTCCTCTTCATCAATTTTATTAAAATGCCATATAGAAAGTCAGACAACATCTCTACGTCTCTTCTTTGGTTTCACCAACACACAAGGTATATGCCCGTTTTGTGTTGTAACTTCTGGTTATAAACTGATAAAAACAAAATTTATGATTATACATACATATAATACGTTCTACAATTATATATATGTATAGGGCTTGGTGCCCTTTTTGCTTTATGGATTACACTAGTTGTTTGGCCTTGCTGAATATTCCAGGACCTTATTAATTAAAGCCTTTGCTTTGTCTTTTGTAATTTAGAACCACCAAAAGAAAATGATCTTGCATTTAACTCATCATTAACAGAAACATATTTTCTATCAAATTCATAACATAAAAGAACATGGAATGATTCCTTTCACATCCAATGCAAATATCAATTTTGGGTAGGGGGGTTTTAGGTCATCTATCAGTAATCTCACCTTGAAAAGTAATTAGGGCAACAGCATTATGAGAAGTTTTTTTTTTCTTTGCAAAGCTAGGCTCTAACTAGTGTCGGAGCCAAGATTTCATGTGTGAGGGCCTCTCTCTCACAAAGTATGAACAATAAAAAATTCGAACTCGCAGTATATACCAAAACATCATATATATCACATACATAAAAGATCATATTGCCTATTCATTACAGTTATAATTGTCCTTAAAGAGTTTTCATATTTTGAAATCGTTGTATAATAGCCTCGTCATCTATACTATTTCTCAATAAATACAGCAAAACAATCATTCATCCACTAACTCAAGCTTTGATTTTCTTTTGAAGAATCTTTACATAACTGAAAAACATATATATGGACTAAATTTAAATTGAAACAAGTACACGAACATCTTCTCAAACTTATAACCAATAGAGAATCATATATATATATACCAAAAATGGGTATTAGAGTTTATGGCGCGTGTATCTAGCATGCCATTACTAACAAAAAAACATAGCGTGCACTCAAAGCTTGCCGTAAAAAAACAAAGGAACAAAGTCATTTAGGGTGAGCACAATACGCATGTCGTAAATGGCGCGCCGTAAATACTTGGTTTTCTTATGTAGTGTAATGAAATGAAATAAAAAATTCACCAACAGAAGTTCACAATTGCAACAAAATGATAGACAAATACATACTAAGCAAGAAAAATTGCAAGGATAGTGACGCAGTGTGACAAAATAATGAGGCAATCAAATGATTATCTAAGAGAACCAAGCTTGGAATCCACTAGAGATGAGAATACCTCAATTTTAACTACGGGCTAAAGTTGGTTTAAATACTCCTAAAAACCCTAGGAAACAATAAGGAATTAAAAAGGAAAATTAACAAAAGTTTCTAAAAATTTGCAAGGTATTAAAAGGCCCGTTTGGGCTGCTAAATGAGAGCTCATACATCATAGAAAAGCAATGAGTTTTACTCGTGGCGCCGTTCCCTTCGAAACGGCAGGTCATGGGCACAAAATCGGAGCTTGGGCCCAAACTTGTAACTTACCGGTCTTGGCTTTGCACGCGCAACGCTCCAACTCCTCTTCTATCGCTTCAACCATTTGTTCTACATTAGAGAGACAAATAAATGCTATGTTGTCATAGAATATATTAAAATGCATAACATCATAGTACTTTTTTATATAAATAAAAACTGAGTGGATAGACAAATTAATACATACTATGTTCCACTCCCTCACGAAGTCAAACAACATCTATCTCTTCCCATGTCTCTTCTTTGGTTTCACCAAACACACCCCTAGGCCTGCCCTCTAATAATTAAATATTTCTCTCTGTTCTTCGACTGTTTCACCTTTCACACTGGGGCGTACTCTCTTTCTCTCTCTGATTTCCGTTCCTTGAAACAATCCCTCTCTGGTATGATTTTAAGTTTCATTTTCGTCAACTTTGTAATATTTTGTACCGAAAGTTATTCTATCTTTTGTGTTTCTAGCAGATTACTTGGAATCCACTGCCGAATGGCTTTCAGCAGGCAAAGAGCCTCCACGTCTGCTCCTTCAGCTTCTACATGGAAACACCACGTGTTCTTGAGCTTTAGGGGCATAGACACTCGCAAGGGTTTTACCGATCATCTATATGACAGATTGTGGTGGCGGTCAATTACAACTTTCAGGGACAACAATGAACTTGAAAGAGGTAGAACTATTTCTCCAAATCTACTGAGAGCAATCGAAGAATCATGGTTTGTCATCGTTATCCTCTCACCAAACTATGCTTCTTCCACCTGGTGCTTAGATGAGGTTTCAAATATTGTTGACTGCAAGGAGGTCGACAAAATTCTACCAATTTTTTATGATGTAGATCCTTCTGATGTCCGAAAACAAATGGGAGCTTTTGCAGAAGCCTTCAACAAGCACAAAAAAAACTTTAAACAAGACAAAGCAAAGGTACTACGCTGGAGAGCTGCTCTTACAAAAGTTGGTAATATCTCCGGCTGGATTTCGAAAGATAGGTATGCATGTGTCACACCCCAATATTTTTTTTCCTTCTTATGGAAGTGTGAGGTAAAAGAAAAACTAAAACTTAAAATTTAAATAACAAGAAACATGAAAACTGAACATAAACTTTATTTTAAATAAAAGTAATTTATATTGTGATTTTACAAGCAAAATAACAAGAAAGAAACACTCTCTTATTTATTTATTTTTTTTTACAAACAAAACGTCCAAAACTATCTACAACTCGTTCTTCTTGTTACCAGGTCACAAACTAAACCTCAAATTCAAAACTTGCAACAAATTTAATAAGGGGTGAGCATTAAAAGCTCGGGAGGGGTCCTATGTCTTATGTGATTAGTGAGATTTATAAAATTATGCAATGCATGAATGAACTTCAATTCTACCCAACCCATTAATTTATATAATAGGGAAAGCAAATCTGCATGTCCTATACCATGCATTTTACCACTGTGATTTCGAATGCCCTATTACATAAATTAACACCCGTGACATTCCCAATTTCATATTCCCCTTTTGCTAGTCGTCTTGTCTAAACAATTGATCTCCAAACTCAAATCACCCAATCGACAATTATACCGCTGATATCCTATTCTATTGTGCACACGGGTTCGCCTGAACTTGATCCCTACAATGATTGAACTCAACTATACAAAAGCTATTTTCCTTTCTCATACCCCAAGTGTAATGAACTCTTTTACTCCAACAACCAATGATAAGCAAGTCATGATAATGGAAAGCATTATGTAATAGCAATATTCATAACCCAATTTCATAAATAAAAACAAATGTAAAAGAATTAACAAAGCTTCAACAATAAGAACATAGACAAGAATATTCAATTTAAATATAATTCTATGTAACTAATCCCCAAAATTCCCCTACCTTACTTCCAAGCTAGCTAACTCTTTCCTTAAGCTTTGTCGGGCTCTAACAAAGTCCTTCAGTCTAAGCGTAAAAACATAAAACACAAAAGAAAATATTTAGAATATTGAAATAAAAGATGACTGGTCGCTATATATTTTATATAAAAACTGGTTTTTAAAATGGTTTAAACGGACCACCTTGAACAGCATTATGGCTTATCAAGTCTCAACGAAAATTTACAAATAAATAGTCATTTTAAAGTTTGAAGAATCGAGCTCCGAAATGAAAGATATTGCGAATTAAAATAACATATACGAGCAGGGAAAATCTAACTTTAACAAACCAAGTTCATACATAACTTTAACCCATCAAATCTCCATGAAAATTTTCGTATAAATACTTGATTTAAAGCTTATGAAACTTTCTTCAATGTTACGGAATTCGTTTTCCAAAAGAAACTTTGTAATGAAAGAAAATTATTGAGTCAGAAGAGAGGTTAAAATTCTGAAATCTGTACTAAGATTCTACAATATTTTGTAACTGGAATTTTGTTGATATGAAAACAGATATTCAAATGAAATCATGAAAAAACAAAAATGATAAGAGAAGGTTTTATTTCCATATTAAAACATGATAAAAGCATAATTCTTCCAATTGAAAACTAAAGAATTTACTAAACACACCCAAAACTATAAAAATTCTTACCCTTAAGCCTTCCTTTTCCAAAGCTCAAAACTTCATTCTTCTTTTTCTCTTTCAGAATTCTTCCTCTCCCTCTCTTTCTTTCTACTAGTAAAATGAGCTAAAAACTCATATGAAAAATCCTTCTCTAACTTCAACTATTTATTGGTGAAAAAGTCATGATTAAAACCTATTACTAGCTCTTCCACCTCCTATTTATAGCTGGGATTACTCAGCACTCTAGCTGGGATTAGTTAGCCATATAGATTGCTTACTAAGCAATCTAAGTTCATCACCAACAGCCACCTCCTCCTATAGACTCTCCACCTCTTACCTAGCCCTTCTACCTCCTCCTTAAATCTTGCCACCACGAGAGCCTTCACTAATAAGCACCCTAGAGTGCTTACAAGGCATGAAGATATTTTTTGAAAGAAACAAAATAAGAGAGAATGAAGAAGACAAGAGGAAGAATGAAATATTTGGCTGCATGATTTTTTTTTGAGAAAAAGGATATATTGCATTGTAAAATAAATGTAATTTTAATAAGTACACCTTGCACACTATATATTCAACCATAATCAAACGTAAGCGAAAAACCCTATTTCCAAAAACCTTAGTATTAACTCCAACAATTTGTTTCATCGTTAGTTAGTAATTCATTAATGCAAACAAGTTTCATATGTATGCTTCAGACATGTTGAGCGAGTTATCAAAAGATATATTAACTTTGATTTTTTTGGTTTAGGTTGAAAAAAACTTACCGATATAGATCACATCATTACATTTATTCTCCACATCAATTCTAGCATCGCTGGATAATTGAAAAAATACTCTCTTGACCATCTAAAAAATACAACTAAATTACTATTGCTGTAAATCTGGACAGATCTTATTTTGCACATCAAAACAATATCCCAAAAAGCTTTCCTAGCTGAAGTCTAAAAAATTTCATGATGGATTTTATAAATATTAGCTTTTGTGTGCCAAACTTCACGAACAATGAAAATGAAATTATCTCAACCCGCTCTTCAAATATGGATCTATAACGTGCGAAGAGGAGGGATGTGTGAATCAGCGATGCGGCGTTAGGGTGTACCAGGAGTATTTTTGTATTTAAATAGGGTGTACTTAGTTAATTTTACATTTTGATTTAAATATTAGGGTGTACTTAAATCATATGGTATACTCAGTTAATTTTAGGGTTCGTTTAGCAACGTGTCTTTACAGCATGCACAAATGAACAAGTATTATTATTTTATTTACACTTCATATATATAATTTCACCGAATGGTTATTTATTTTTCTTTTCCATGATCTGTAGATATGAGGCAGAGCTTATCAAAGAAATTGTTGAAGAAGTGTGTAACAAAGTGTATCCTGCAATAGTCACATTGCTAGGTTCCACAACAAAGTTAGTCGGAATTGATTTTAGACTGAAGAAAATAGAATTGCTGTTAGACCGTGATGCAAAAGATGTTCGCTTTATAGGGATATGGGGGGCTCGTGGCACAGGCAAGACAACTATTGCTAGACTTGTTTATGAGAGAATTTTCCATCGCTTTGATGTTAGCTACTTTCTTGCTAATGTCAGAGAGGTTTGTGCAACCCATGGGATTGTTCATTTACAAAAACAGCTTCTTTCCCCAATCTTGAAGCAAAAAGTGAATGAAGTTTGGGATGTTCATAGCGGAGCCACTATGACCAAGTATTGTTTATGTAATAAAAAAGTGCTTCTCGTTATTGATGATGCGGATCAGTTAAACCAACTGGAAGTATTGGCCGGAAACAAAGACTGGTTTGGTTTGGGGAGCAGAATTATTATTACAACCAGAAAGGAACATCTGTTGATCGAACATCATATAGAGGAACGATATGAGCTCTTGGGATTACAAGACATGCCTGAAGATTTTCATCCCCACAGAAGAAATGAGCCTGAAGGAGATCTTAACTTGGAACTTCCGAATGATGAGTCTCAACAAAAAGATGATGAACCCGTTAAAGTTCAGTCGAAGAGCCACAATGAACAAGTTGGAAAAGTTCCCAAGGCTGTTGAAGAAGGTGGTGTGGACATGGATTCTCCTCCTCAATTCAAGGTGTGTGTTGGCTGCAAGAGGAATATTGAGCATGGACAATATAGAAATTGGAAGGGTAAACTTCAGTGGCATCCACATTGTTTTTGCTGTCATGCTTGTGATCTTCCCATTACTGATTCCAAATTTAAGAAGCATGAGAATCATCCTTACCACCCATCCTGCTACATGGAGCGTCGTCATTCACGATGTGTTGTTTGTGAAAATTTTATCCCACCAAATTCAGATGGTCGAATTGAGTATAGCGTAAATCGTTTCTGGCGACAAGAATCTTGTCCCTCTCATCAGGACGATGGAACTCCTAGATGTTGTAGCTGTGGAAGATTACAGCCAGGAAGGTACACCAGATATCATTTACTTAATGATGGCCGGTCACTATGTCTGGAGTGCCAGGATTCAGCGATTACAGAAGCTGACGAATGCGAAGCCCTTTTCCTTAAAGTACAAGAAGTGTTTGATTTGAAAATTCAAGAGAAAAATATTCGAAAATACTTCATGGATAAAGGAGAACTCTTAAAAGCCAGTAAGGCCATTGTGGAAAAGAATGGTGGCGTGAGTGATCAATTGCTAGCAGGTGAGACTACCGACTGCTTTATTATATGGACGTCGGAGCCTTTCCCTCAAGTAAAAGCAATGGGGATACTGAGTGGTCTTCCTAGGCTGTTGACAGGGTCAACTATGGCTTCCAGTATAATGCAAGCATGGCTAAAGGTTAAATGTTATAAAATTCGAAATATCAGCCCACAGGTTACAAAGGGTTTCAGCCAAGTGTTAGCCCATATGTGGCTGGACTTTGAGATGAATTCTGGGTCTGACTTTGAGAAGAAGCTTGGTAAATATTTACAGCACCGAATTGAAAAATCATCAGATTATGGAGAAGGGTTCAGCTTAGGTAGCAAAGCAGTGCTCAAGCATGGTCTAAGACAGACCCTTAACCATATTCGAAAGACAGGAAGCCTTCCACCTGTAGAGTGATTGAGAGAAGCAGGCTTGAGTGAAACTGCAGAGCTGTGTAGCTTGAGTGATACTTGTGCTTAAAAAAGGAAATTTGTAGGGGATGATACGAATAAAGGAGCGAGTGCGAGAGAGATATGGTTGAGAAATAAGAGATTTATGGGGGTAGGAACGGATAGAATGAAATGATAAAAATTTCCACATAGAGTTATTAATCCACTAATCTTATATCACTTGTATTTATTTATGGGTTCATTTTAGTTTGGTATTCTGAAGTTGCAATCCTTAAAGCACATGTTTGTCTCTGCATTTTTTATTTTAACAATGTAATATTTCACAGTTATATTGTCGCTTGGTTTTTTTTTTTTTTTTTTTTCTGGTTTCTGTTTTGGGCGACCAAGCCTTTAGGGTGGCTCTATTTTTCCGATATGCTTCTGCCAACATTTTTGGTGGTTTCCTAGTGAATACACTTTGGATGAGCAGTTGTGACGGTTGAGCAGTTTGTAAAGTAGTTACCGGCGGTTTGGCACAATCTACAAAACCATCTCAATTTGTGTTGTTGGTTCGCTAAGGTGGCCTTTCGAGTATTTTTGGGTTCATCCAATGATGGGCTTTGCTATTGGCTTAGCCCACGTGTCTCTCTGTATTTTTACTTATTTCTTTTAGTTTTTCTATTTGCATGTCTTTATTTTGATAATTTTCCTTCTTTTATTTTTGTGTAGGGTGATTGTCGATATTCCTTGTGAGCATGCTTGAAAAGGTGTCCAGGTTTCTTTTTTCTTTCTTTCTTTTGTTACCATGTGTTTAGTTCAAGTCGCCAACCTTTTACATTTGGGTTTCAGATGGTTTCTTTGTTATCTTTTGTACTCTTTTAAGGTGCTTCTATTTTATAGACCATTTGCTCCAACAACAAAAAATTAACAATGTAGTACTCCGATTTTGAAAATTTGTTGCAATGTGACTCTGCCGTTAGCCTAACCGTCAAAGAATCTATTAAGTGATTATGTGTCATGTATGGGCCCACCTTTTTTGCTTAGGTGAACTAAAACATTAATAATATTTTTTTTAATTCAATTAAAACAAAAAAATAAACTTTATAAAAAAAAAAAACAGCAGTTTTTCTTATTTAATTTTTTTAATAAGGTGGTAATAAAGTTGTAAAAAAAAAAATCAATACATTTAATAAGGATAAGACTTGGAAAACAAAAATTAGCTTGTTGGATGCATTAATGACATTGTTTTTAGTGTAAGGAAAGTGACATATGTAAGATCCCACATCGACCAACGGAGAGGGGTTGATGTGCCTTATATGTACACACTCGACTCCATCTAGCACGAGGCCTTTTGGGAGCTCACTGGCTTCGGAGTTGTAGGAACTCCGAAGTTAAGCGAGTTGGGGGCCAGAGCAATCCCAGGTTGGGTGACCCACTGGGAAGTTGGTCGTGAGCTCCCAGAAACAAAACCGTGAGGGCCAGAGAGGGGGGGCCCAAAGCGGACAATATCGGGCGGAGCCGATCCGGGATGTGACAATTTGGTATCAGAGCCACTCTGCCGTGTGGTGCGAGTGTGCCGACGAGGACGTCGGGCCCTTAAGGGGGGTGGATTGTAAGATCCCACATCGACCAACGGAGAGGGGTTGATGTGCCTTATATGTACACACTCGACTCCATCTAGCACAAGGCCTTTTGGGAGCTCACTGGCTTCGGAGTTGTAGGAACTCCGAAGTTAAGCGAGTTGAGGGCCAGAGCAATCCCAGGTTGGGTGACCCACTGGGAAGTTGGTCGTGAGGGCCAGAGAGGGGGGGCCCGAAGCGGACAATATCGTGCTACGGCGGAGCCGATCCGGGATGTGACAACATATGTATTGAAGAAAAGGGAGAAAGTCCAAAGGAGAAGGTTAGAGAGAATGTTGCTAGCATTCCTCATTGCCAAGAGGGGGGCGCGAAAAAAATAATGAGGGAGGGGTTTGTGGGGAATTGGGGGAGAAGAAATCTTGGGGGGGGGAGGATAGGTTTGGGTATGAGGAATTCTTTTCTATTTTCATCATTTTTTTTCTAATTTTGTGTTAATTTT